TCCTGGCTGAACCCAGCACACACACGTAATCTGTTTTGTCATTAGCCTTTCAGTGTGAGCTTATAATGATTTTTCAGATGGTCTGATAGGCTAAAATGGAACAAAAATCACTTCCTCACATCCTGCAAGGCATCCAACATTATGCTAAGTCCAACTTATGTAGTACCCTGTGACTGACAAGAACAAAAATCAGATTTGTTTAATCTGTTTATGATCGCTTTATTTAAACAGCCCAGACTCTTTAAAGTATATAGAAATTAAAAAATTTGATTTAAAAAATCATTAGACTGCACAGCAGAAATTGAGTGTGGCCTACTCACTTATTATGTACCTTTCAGCACTGTCTTACAGAGACTAGCATGTCTACATCTCTTTTAGAGGGAAGAGACAGGAAGGAAGGGAGTGAGGAGAGGACAAGAAAACCTGAAACACTGAAACCTGAGTGGCAGAAGAACCTAAAAATTACTATAAGCGACTACTACTAGGAATTTCAGTTGCTTAAATAGTCCTTTCAACCTTTCCTACTTTGAATCAAAATGTTTCCTGAAAAATATCCCACCTCTTCATAGTGCAAACAAGTTTTAGATCAAAAGGCTCATATTTTGGAAATTTATTAGAAAGTACAGGCCCAGCTAGCTTGCAGCATGAACAACTGCCACCAAAAGTATACTTCTACTATTTGCTGCTCAAATTAACCATTTTACAGCCGGAAACAGTGTTAAAGTGTCCAAGACATGCACCATAGGAAACACCCCACAGACAACTCACTGGTATGCATCTGTGACATCGGCAGACAGTATCAAGAAGACCTGACTGCACTGCATATGTCCTTTGTTTTTCAGATGAGAGTGTACTTGTACAGACCCTGCAAGACTATCACCATTTAATAATCAGAAAACAGGTGAAAAGAATAAGCAAGTTGAAAGCTCTACAACTTACCTTTAGTTAAAACAGCATTTCATCTGCTATTAGCACAAATTACATCCAAACGTACGTGAAAGATTGGATTCTGGGGAGGGAGAGGGGTCAGAACTATTAGTAAAGATAAGCATACCTGCTCATTTTTATCAGGAAGTGAAAGGTTCATTTTTACGTCAGCCTTCATTCTTCGGAGCAAGTAGGGATTTATGGTGTCCCGTAGCACACAGGCGCATTTGTATGCTGTTTTTACCTGAAGAAGGAATAAAAAGCAAAAGTTATATTTTGGTTCTTGCTATTAATTTTAGCAACAAGCAAAATTCTGTAAGTAGTAATAGAAAAAATCCTAATAAAATGAGACAGTGTATGATGTATGTGGACCTACAGTTACATATTCAACACAACATGAATTGCAATCAAAATTATGTCAGCAACAGTAACACTGAATGAATAAATCTTCCTCAGATACCACTAACGTATCTTTCCTAATTTAGTGGAATTTAAGAGAGACCAGATACGAGAGATTTATTTTAGAAACTGATCTAGGAAGCGCATATAACCTTGCACAGAACCAAAAAACCACTAGAAAAACTTCTAACACATATACTGAAGATCAAAAAGAAGCCTGCAGCAATGGTGGTTACTAGGCAGTAAGTGAAGATTAGTGACCGCTTGAGACTATTAAAAAAAATCGGTACAAGAAAATCCCCATGATCACAGAAATGAAAGGTCACTCTGGCCTTAAATGGAGCATATGGTTCTATAATGGGTAATGGATGTGTGAGATGGGTATTACCCGTACATAATGGCTAAAAATACCTTCATTTCTCTTAAAGCAAGACAAAGAATATAATAAATTATTAATATGTAAAAAACAAATTGGCCGTCCAATTTAGTAAATTACTAAGCTTTAGACAATGGAAGTACTTAGACTTAAAAAGAAAATAAAACTTTAGAAATGTATCTGCACAAAACATTACAAAGAATATTTAAAAGGATACACGTTTTATTAGCCTTTATACAAAACTTAATCCACAGATTATTATGCAGACAATTTATCTATCCACTATATTGAAAAAGTTTTAAGATGTCAAATACTGACAACCACAACTACAAAGATTAGTAGACACACTCATTGAAAATAATATTTCAAATAAGTTTTGCTTTCAAAATTAAATAGTTTATCTACTTTCAGACTTCCAATACTTATTTTAGCTTTTTAAAAATGAAAACAGTTTTCAATTTGGATTTAAGGATTTCTGTGTTGGATAATTTGCCAAAGCTTGTTATCAAATGGGAAAGTTCTATTTAAATATATCAAAATATGACATCAGTCACCTTCCACCCCAACTTGCTTCTGTTTTACTTTATACCAAAAATACTTCTAATGATTTAAACTTCAGGGCTTTTGACAAGAAAACTTTGTGTATAAGCTATAATCCTGTATAAATGAAATGGTTTCATTCAGTGAACAGCTCTTTCCACATACACAACAGTAAAAGCACATGTGCAGCTCTTTTTTGCCTTAGTGTCTAGAACACACAGCATGAGGTACACATAAAAGTCAGTTTTGAAACAACGGAACAACTTCCTTCAAGCCAAGTGATTTTGTTGATGCATTTACCTGGACAGCAGAGGCATTGCAATATCCTCCCATGGTTATTGGGACAGAAAATTGCTCCATGAACACAGGCAGTGTTCCCAATTTTCCTGGGAATATAAAGTCGAAGAGGGACCAGAGCTCCTTCAGGTTATTTTGCATAGGGGAGCCAGACAAGATGATTCGATGGGGTGTGCGGAACTATTAATAAAACCCACAAAACCAAAATAAAGTTATTTTCATAGTCCATGGTACAGCCTGCCTCCTGTCTCAAAAATTATTCTGTTTCACCACCAATGAATTAGTTTTAAAATATGTGGCCTAATATTCCTGAAATAAATAGCTTGTATGCAATGTATCTTCCATAAACTGTTAGCAGAAAATGAACATCAGAAATCTGACATTTATCCCTAATGGTAAATTACTACACAATTTCTGATTTTTTTATCTTTACCATACCTCTGTAAATGTAGTGATGTAAACTCATTAAAAATGTGATGCAAATTAAATATTCAAATTAGTCATTGTGATTTATGCTTTGATTCTTTATTCTTCTCAGTGGTGTCCAGTGACAGGACTAGGGGCAATGGCCATAAACTGGAAAACAGAAGGTTCAGCCTGAACATGAGGAAACCCTTCTTCACTGTGAGGGTGACAGAGCCCTGGAACAGGCTGCCAGGAGAGGTGGTGGAGTCTCCTTCCCTGGAGACTTTCAAAAGTCCCCTGGACTTGTTCCTGTGTGATCTACTCTAGGGGATCCTGCTCTGGGGGTTGCACTAGATGATCTCTAGAGGTCCCTTCCAACCCCTTCCACTCTGTGACTCCATGATTAAGCATCAAATGTGTCTTTTTATCACAAAGTAATACAGGCGCCTAGATTTTGGAACGTCCCCCCCCAATCCCCTTCAAATATTTTTTTTTTTTTTTTTTTTATAAAGTACCTGCTTGCATGCAAGTGTCACTGCAGCATTTGGATTTCGGATTTTGTGACCCTCATCCAGAATCACATAATGCCAGTTATAGCTGTGGATGTTATCCTGCATCAGTCGAATGTATGAATAAGACGTAATTAAAATTCCATGGCATGAAGCAATTTCATGAATTAGTTTTGCCTAAAAGCAAGAGGTGCACATTGTCAGTAACAGTGAGACAGAAAGCTCAGGCCTACTCAACTACAGGTTTGCTGTTCAGAGTATGCACACAAGTTTTGAAAATCAGCTATATAATTTACTTTGCAGAGAAAATAAGTAAAGGCAAGACTGATTATATAATTCTTAGCTCATCTGTAAGAGAATGAAGCACTTGAATACTGTGGTATAACTCATCAGAAGCCTGGTCAGTAGGAAACAGTGTGGTTTGTTTGGGTTTTTTTAGGCAATGTCTGAAAAAACCAAACATTAAATTTGACTAAAATAACTGGTTTCTTCGATTTCTCCAATAGTGACCTCACAAACCCAGCTTTGTGTACTGCATGCAAGATCGAGAATGTTAGAGGAAAATTAGACAAGTGAAAAAATAAAAAACAAAAAACAATCACAAAAATCTATTTGGTTAATCCTAAATTTTGTCCAATCTTTCTCATTAATAGCACCAATATATTTGTCAGTAATCTTCAAATTTCATGTTTCTCTTGTGAGCTATATCTTCTCCCTAAGTTTTTACTAGCCTTTATACCTGTAAATTATGTAAGGCAGGGACAGTCTGTATCACCTTCCACAGCATTCAGAGTATTCAAGACTCATCTTTCTTACAGTTATCCTCTTGCAATTATCTTGCAATTACTTACATATCCTTATATATAAGTACAGAAGACTTAAACAGAAGATGATGGACTCGGAAGTGACTCTGGGTGAAACAACCATACCCAGTGTAAAATAAAAAAAAAGTAGAACCACCACAGAATTTGCTGAAGACAAAACCTTTATTACTAGAAGTGCCTTTGAGAAAAAAAAAAAAAAAAACCAAAAAACAAAAAACAAACCACAAACCAAGTCCATCTCAAAAACCCAGATGGTGTTAAAAGTACATGATCTCTTATGGTAAAACTTTTTTCTCAAAGACATAACCCAAGATTCAAAAAGCAATTCTGCATTCAACTGTTCAAGAATTTCTACTTTCTGATTATCACCTCCTGATAAAACCATGACACATTATTTAATGTTGACATGATTCTCAAAAGAATATGCAATCTTTAGAACAACTTGTACGATGGACAGAGTAGGGTTTCTAGGCAGGTGTGGACATCCAAAGCTTAATTCTACCTGGTACGCTGTCCATAGTCTGCAACCGTGTCCCAGAGTCTCAGCAATGGCCTATCATAGAATATTGTAGACATCTCTACCCAAACACTTAAGACAAATCATCTCGGGCGATTTCAAATTAAAAGCTTGTAAAATATGTAACCTCTCCTAGTTTTTGCAATTAATAGGGTATGTCTGCAATTAGCCTGACTTACAGAATGCTACACTGTTGTCATTAAAAGATGTTTTGTGAAAGTGCTGCTGTTATTATGGAGGCTCAAGAGACCAATCCCTCCTAGAGGGCAAACAGTGGACTAGTAGAAAACAACAGCCATAAATCACGTTGTCAGGTAGCAGGGAGAACAGAAGTGAAACACAGGCACATGAAGGCCATTCACTGTAAACACACCACAGCAGAATCCTAGTCAGGATTTACTGAACCTGTAATTAATTAAAGTTTCCTTCAAGCTAAATTTTTAATAAACAAGGATTTGTGCTGACAATGAAGAAATACAACAACACAATTTTATCAACTCACACTACAACACTTATTAACTCTCATTTTACCACACTGGGTACTTTCTCAGAGGTTGCCTCTGCTTTCACTGCAGCTCTTGCCATAATTTAAAATATTTTAAAATATGGTAACAGATTTTATTTTAGATACACATTGTTTTGAGGTTGTGGCATTTCAGAGTTTATGCTATTTTATCATGTCTCCTTAATTCACAATTCCTTTTTGGTTAGATTCAGAGATGTTAATTTCATCCACCCTCCCCTCCCCGGAAATATGCTTCAATGGAATATTTCAGGTTGTGCAATGTTAAACTTAAAACAACAAACAAACAAACCAAACAAAAAAACCCATCAAAACAAAAAAACCAACCAGCTTAAGTGAAACAAATGCTACTAATACCAAAAGATTACATAGCAGTTATCTAGCTCTGAAATTCTGAACTCTGGCCTTTAAAAGATGCTAATGAATAGAGGAACATGTGAGTAGATTGAGTAATTCTGATCTTGTAGTTCTGTTCAGCAAGTTATTTCTTTTTACAATTTCCTTTACAATTCAAGGACAGTATTTTCTCCTAACTTAGGGTGATAAATTGATTGTGCCACCTTGTCTTCACTGGGACACACGCAGTGTACAAAGATTGGAAGATTTTTGGCAAGCACTATTTCCTCAGGCTAAAATGTTTATGATTTATTCCAAGGACACGCCCCTAAGCAAATGTTTTTTTCCTGTTGGTACCTCGCTGTAGCTATTAGTTTGTTTCTGAAGTCACAAAAAAAGAACAATTTTTTTACTGATGCTTACAGAAATAAGTTCTATCTTTTTTAGCATAGTCTTTTAAAAACTATTTAAGAGGACCCGAACTCTTCTATAATACTGCGTATTCAAAAGGTAATTTTCTTAAACAGAAACGTGTATGTTAAGACTGAACTTAAGGAACTACACTACTGATAACTACAAATTTCTCTAAGCACTCCGGTACCTTTAAGGCAACTGTGAACTTACGGAGATAATATCTAGTCACACAACCATATATCACTTGAGAATCAAAAATGCATTCTTCAGCAGGCTTATCACTATCTCATAACCAACCATTAAGCCCAGAGATCCATAAATTCAACCTATAAAACCTCTTTATTATTTCCCTTCCCCCAACAAAACAATCTAAATGGTACCACGAAGAGGCTTCAAAAGAACACATTACAATGTTTAATAATGTAAAAGTTGCAATAAAAAGAGCTAAAGCCCTTACTACATATTTAACAAGAAAGCTACTTCTTGTGGCATGATACTAAGTTTACCTGTGTTTGGTCCTTAACTCAGAAATAGAGACTTTGGCTAAAATAAAAGTTCCATATGCTGTCAATAACTGCAACCTCTGCATTGTATTTTCTTTACACACAGATTGCGCCCTCTACTGTGAGGGCAGAAGGTCTAAAATTTTCCTTGTGCAAAGTCACCTTCAAACAGATGGTTCCATAGGTACAAGCATCATGAACGGACAATTGCTTTTGAGGGCTGCATTGTGTCCCAGTATTTGACCAGATAATGTAAAGTTACAGATGGTATGTGATTACCACCAGAAAGAATTGTTAAGCTCAGTGGTACCTGTTCTAAAGATCAAGAAATTGAAAGTTCAGCCTTGATCTTCCTGAAAAAATAAATATAGCCTCCTTCCATATGTTAAACCAAGATAACCAAAGTTCAGGTTGCCTTTTACATTTTATGATTTACAAATGAAATGAGTCATCAGAAGTTTTGAAACAAGACAAGCTCTTTGTACAGAAGGCTGTTTCTACACTTAACAGAGCTTTCCTCCTCTTACCTTCTGTTCTATACCATAAATAAAACAGTATGTATGACACACTACATTAGATTTACTTCTTTATTTTCCCCTCATCCTTAGAGGTCTCAGAGTACTTGATATTTACAAGTCACTTTAAGCTACATCAGATTTAAGTGTAAGCCACAGTAGGAGGTTAATAGTGTAAGACAGCACCACAGGACATAGCCACAAATGCTGTACCTTGTTCAAACTGAAAGCTAGACTTCACAGTGGAAGACTACTACTTAAAACTGGTTCTTCCTGCCACTCCCAACTTAAGCACATTTATCATCAGAGAAGAACCAAATGATCTTCTGTGATCATAAATAATAATAATAAAGAAGCAAATTTTGCATTTAATCCAAATGCCTTAAACTAGCTTTAAAGTATTGGAAACTTATCCAACTTGCTTTTGTGCCTTCCTTCCACCATCAAAAATACAAACCTGCCTTCTCTTGTGGATAGCTGAAGTCCTTTAAACGATTAGTCGTAATTCAAGGGGTGAAACTGGAACTTCACACTTCTCTCCCTTACTGCCAAAACTGTCTACCATTGTTATTTTGGCAAAGGAATGAAGCAGTGTCTCTTCTGAAACATCACATATGCTGAAAACCTACACAAATACTATAACAGCAGAGATACCTAAGCAGAACGCCTCAATGATTTATGTGAAACAGGCTGACCAGATTTGTAGCCAATCTGGTGCTCACAGTTCAGGCTGTTGTTTCACACTATCACAGCAGAAAATCCTGAAGTTGTTTGCAAGGAAAACTAAAACGGACTGGGAAGAGAGGATAAGCCAAGGTAAGCCATTGGCGAGCCTTTCACTTACCACACTTCCCGGAAGTCCTTCTGAAACACTAGGGGGTCATGAATCAAAAAGATAGGCAAGGTATTGCCCAGTTTCAATTTATGACCAAACAATCAGAAGACATGTCTTCCCCACTCTTCTCTGTCAAGCAATACTTCTGTGGGCAAGTCTAAAGAACTGGGAGACAGATCAGCTGAAGTTCTATCAAATGAAACTCCAACCGTTGTCAACTTCTGCTAAGCAATACCGTTTTATCTTATGGGACACATCCCACTGCTTAACTCTTTTCCTCCAAAATTCTCTTTCATTAGTTTTAAGATTAATCAATCTTCCTCTGTTCCTCAGAAATCATTTGTCCCTCTTTCACAGGCCTGTACAAAACAAGCTGCAACACTGTGTTTTGCTACAAACAACCCACTGGCCAACTACTACAAGGTAATACATCCCCCAAAATCCATTAACATCTCCACTGTCTCATGTCTAGTTAATCTGGGCTACAATTATGTTCTTCCACCAGCCCAAACCTTTCTGTGTTAGCCCAGAGGCTGAAGTGACCTTTCTTCTCACTCCAAAGCTGACAATGTTCTGTTCCCCAATCCTGTCTCTTTGCATGTTAGCTGTCCGGCACAAAACTCTTGTCATTTACTTTGTGATAAGCCATGACATACTAACAGAACAGCAGGTTAGTCCTGGAGTTGTCATTTTAATTCCAAACAGGTCAGTGCAACATTGAGACCACAGGTGCACAGCAACTTGGCTTTTAGGCATGTAAAATTCATCTCAATCAAAGAACAAATATATATTCTTACACATCCTAACCACATTTTTCTTATTTATTTCTTAAACTCATTTAAGTTCATGCCTTATGCCAGAGCATAAGGGCAGAATGGTCCTTGGATTAGTATCATACAGTTTACATATGCAAAAGCAGTCTCCTGTAATGCCACAGGTTATCAGAAGATGGAATTGTCATGAGATCAGATGAGCACTAACATGTTCATAGAAAGAACACATACTGAAAAGAAATTCTAGGCAGCAGTATCACCTGGCATGTATTTCATGTGATATATTTTCAGTGTACAACTGTTACTTATGCTAATAAATTAGTAGTAAACTTTTCTTGCAGGTGTAAAGACAACTGGAATAGGAAAGTTTTGGGGTGGTGGTTTTTTTTAAAAAAAAAACACACTTTAATGTAGTCATAAGCTTGCTCTTCTCTGATTAAGAGATATCTAGGAAAAAAGAAGTCCATGAGGTGAAGACCACATCAACCCTGACACTTGTTTAAAGCATACTGTTGCAGCTCTCAGTAGATGAGGCGTTAGGGCGGAATTAGAGAACTGAGCCTATCGACAGTCATCATATGGTATGCAAATTCCTTAATTTTACATTGTTGAGTAGGCATTTGTGGGAGAACAACAGAAAGGTGAAGTCCTGAATGCCTGACTATTCCTGCAATTGGAAAAATTTGAGCCAGTCTGTCAAGTGCATTGATTAACAAATACCCCAAAATAAGCACATACAATTTAATTTAGGAAGACATGTGAGCATGTTATTGAGGTCAACAGACATTTAGGGCTTGAAAACATACCAAGTTAATTGAACAACAGGAAGCTATTAGCACATTAGAGTGTGCTATTCCTTTTTTGCCATGTACTGTAACTGCATCAATTACCTCAGAATACGTTTAATCAAGTGCAATTAAGCACCATATCATTTTAATGTTATTACAAGAAAGTCAATAAATATTTAAAAGGAAATTTAAAAATGCTTTGCTGAACCCTGAAAATCCATTTAAGCATCTGAAATATGAGGCCAAGGGACAACAAAAAAAAAAACCAAAACCCTAAGTTTTCCTTGTTTTGTTCCTACACAGTATCAAGGATTGAAACTAGACACAAGTGAGGCTTGTCAACTTAAGAAATGGATTAAGAACATGCATATAAGAGACTGGCCAAGAAAATTAAAAGACAGAAAAGGCATTGCTTGAAAAACAGAAAGCCAACAAAGTAACAGTGTCATTAAGGAAAATCAGACTAGGTGATATGCACTGACATACTGACCAACTGAAAAGAAATTGCATTGGCAAGCAAATTGTATTATTACATCAATGGCATACTGATGCATGAAAGTGTGAGGGAAGAATTCACCAGTACCTGAAGCATTTATCTGGTGTACAAGCAGACTGGTCATGAACTTCTAGCATGGACTACAGTACAAGCAAAGCTCAAGCAAAAAAAACCTGTTACTATGTTTAATTTGTTCAAGCAACTCTAGTCCATCATAATATAAATGTGCTCCATGTAATTCCCTTTTTGTCCAATTTCTTAAGAAAACTATACACGACAGTGAACTTGTTCTTTAAAAAAAAAAATCAGAGAAAGAGCACAAGCTTGCACAGAAACATTCAGGAACAGGGGATATATATTTTTGTTACCAAAAAAAAAAAAGGAAAAGTTAAAAAAAAAATAGAAGCCTCTGGCATTCCAACATGGATGTCAACCGTTACCTTCTTGTCAGTATAAGAACCAGTTTCATGGAGAATGGCAACTCTAAATGGAGGCCACCAGGTGTGGAATTCTTTTACCCACTGATGCATCACAGTAGCTGGACAAACAATCACTGTTGGACCCAATCCCTGGTACCTAAAATATTCAAGAAAAAAAATACAAACCATAAAACTTTAACATGAAATAAATAGAATCATAGAATCGTTTGGGTGGCTCCTTAAGATACACATATATCAAAATGACACACTTCATAGTTCAAGTGGAATATGAACACTATGAAAATTAATTGGCACTTGTTTTTTTTGGGAGTCTGTTTTTTAAAGGAAGATGAAAGGGATACTGCTATAAAAACCTATCCACTGAACAGTTAATGATGCATCTATCAAGACAAACACAGAAATAGAAAAGCTCCAAACAATAAGGCATAAGGGAACTTCCTCCTGTGGTAATACAAATCAGACTGGGCGACTGCTGTTTCTGTAAGAGAAAAGAAATAATTTACAAACAACTATTTTATGACTTCTGTTACAAAGAATGTGTAGCTAGAGTCTCACAAATCAACTTACACACAGGTGTTGTGGTTCATGTTGGTAGTGTAAGGTACCATTATCACCATAATTTACAGATAAGACATGGTCTCTAAAGCAGCAGAATACATGATCCACGGAAGTTGAGGTCTGAGCTGGGCTTAAACTGTCTCATAAGTTTCTTATCCAGGATCATTTGACTGTTTCTCAGTATTACTGAGGACAAAGTCTTTCTGTATGTTAAGTTCAGAGCTACCCTGGAAGTTAAGAGAAAAATCTCGCGCACAACAGCCAAACAAGAAATATTACCACCACAAACAAATACCAACCATCACATAGGAAATATACCAAGTAGTGGTTACTAGCAGTTATTTTTCAAATATATTTGCTTTTTTTAAAAACCAAAACCAAACCAACAAACTACTTCGCAAACAAAGGCAATAGCTACAGTTATCCCAGTGATCTGTGTCTGGCCAACTATGTACTACTATTCAACTGGTAATAAGCAAATAATTCAAAAGATCACAGTCTACATTCAAGATCACATGTATATGGCAATAAAGAAGGACTTCCCAGCCACCAGCAATACCCTGCTTTAAAAACAAAAAGTTAATGTCTTCAGAAACAGCTGACATTAAGAAATAATATTGTTAAAAGCTCGTACATATTCAGAATGCCAACTTGGATGTTGCTTATCTCTTCCTTTATGAAGAAATGTTATGTAACAACCTTACAAAGTCTAATTAAACAACTCCCAGCAATCCACGAGGAAGACAAAAGTTTGAGATGTAAAAAATAAATAGCTTCAACTATGCTATGAATCCAAATAACCACTGTTAAAAATATCTATATCAAAAAGCCACCTGCTCCTAAGAATATAGCAAAAAAGTCAACTTTCCCAGAACATATTAGCTTCTCGTTTTTCATGGGTAGTAACAAAATACCTCTGTTTATTCCCCTGATCTGTCTCAAACAAGCTCACATGTTTGGTTTATCGGAGATTCCCCCTTCCCTTAGCTTACAGAAAGAGTTCACACTTGCTTTGATCAATTTTCAGAAAATCCACTCCCCCCTCCACTCACTTGTGTAAAACCTCTTCTGTGTCTAGTCTGGCTCTAACCACTTTCCACTAGCCAACATTTTATTCTTCTCTTGAGAGCTTTTATTTATTTATATACAGAGTCATCTAACTTCTTCCAGTCTGTGCTGTTTCAGAAACAAACCATGCACTTCTACCTGCTACACTTAGGAGTCAGCCTTCGATCTCCTACTCACTCCAACAGATTTGCTCTGTTGCCCATCCAATTTATATTTGTCTTCCTTGAACAACGGTGACACTAACAACATTCCAAACTGAAGTCTTACTGGTGCCTTGTACCAGGATACTAATACTGCCCTGTTCCTCCCCCAGATATATTGCCATAATGTATTCTGTCCCCTTTTTACAGCTGCATTGTACTAATAGCTCGTGGTCAATATAATTATGATCAATATAGCCAAATCTCTCTCTTCCTCTGTTGCTTCTGGTTTATAAAACCCAAATTCACAGCAAGTATCCTTTGTTAGTCTTATGGATGTGATCAGAATGGCAAATAAGACCTATTCTTGCAACTTACTACCAAGAAAAAGGAAGCTATCATCATAGTATATTTATAATCTTTAAGCACTCAAAAAATTAACAGAGGAAAACATGTTGCAATAAGCCAACTCTATTGCCAAGCACTGGCAAATCATGCCTTCAAAATGAAACTCAAATGACAACTAAATCATAGTGAAAATAAAAGAACAGGGCAGCAATAGCAACACAAATTTTCTAGGGCAATGGATTTTTATTTATGTAAGCATTAATCTCTCTGCCACTCATAGTAGAGATTGAGCCTTTATGTTTTATGTATATGATTAAATCTCAGTATCTTGAAGAGCACAGATGAGTATATAATGAGTGTACAAAATTTACGGCAGTTTCTCATATGATCTCTCAAATAAATGCAGCAAAGTCTGTAGAGAAAGGCAACATCTTTGTTAAACAAAATAACATATTTGGAAAGAAGCAAACTCGTGGATGCCCAAGCCCTTCAACAGGTTTCAGCAACAGATTTGAACCCTGATTCAGGTTAGCGATGGGTTACTTGAAGTTTGCTGGTGCTTTGTTTTTTTCTTGTGAAGGGACCATTGGTCTGAAAGCCGGTGCTTGTTTCAACTATCTGAGCGGGTCTAATGAAAGACCTTTCCCCCTTTATACATCTTGCTCCCCTTGTAACCACCGTAGCTGTAACACTTCTACTGATAACCTCAACATGACATTTGGCCTCCCCCAGCTGTATGGCTCAGTAACTGTTAAAAGTGAGACAGAATTTTAATTTTTGTAACAGTTACACACCATGTAACAAGGAGTTTCCTACTTCAAGCTCCTTCAAAATCAGAAAGACATTGGAATTGAAAGCAGTTTACAAAAGGAAATTTCTACTCACCTTATTTTAATGAATACTTTCGCAGAAAATTTCACTGATAGAAAATAAAGCTGAATATTTGGAATATCAACAAAAGGGACCCCGTTGTTTTAATACTCAAGTGCCTGCGACAATCTTCGCAATTTTGCACAGGAATGGCAGCATTATCTCTGTTGTACAGGCGGCCAGCTGAGGCTGGGAAAGCCCCCAGTGCCAGATTCATACAGTAGTATGCTAGCTCCATTTACAAACCAAAGCGATGAGATACGAGCTAGGCTGGATGGCATTTAAACATGCTGACAGCACATCTATGTCCACTCTTAATAGCTCCTTCTCAACCAGACTGACCAGAAGGTCTCCTGCTTACCAGACCTATATGGCTTTCAGGTAGAAGCTAGCTAACTAGCTGGTGTTACTGCCTTCCTAGTTTGGGGTGCAGATGGGGAAAACACTTGACCATGCAAACATCAAGTTGTTTACACCCTCTGTCTCAAAGCACACAAGCAAAATCAGAGGAAGTTTCACAAGAAAATTAAACCTTGTTTCCTCCTATGGAATTACTATCACAATAGACTCAGTGACAAAAAAGTGAAATGCAACACATTACCTTATATGCAGAAAGAACACTGCAACTTAAGTGTGCAATTATATTTTGGCCTTCTCAAAGTTTTATTGCAGTTTCACTGCACTATCATAGGTCTTAAGCTGTAACTGCATAACAAACTCCAGTGGTGGTCCTCAAGGATCTCCATCAACTCGCTGGTCCTCCAACTGGGCCAGGAAACATACCTACACAAAATAATCTGTACAGTAGCATCCTTAAATCGGACAGCCCTATTGAAGTAAATCAACTGGTCTGTGTGATGGAGGACATGGAGTTTTTTTATCTAAAGGCTACAACAGAAGCCAACTGGAGAAAAGACAGTAATGTTTTCTCTTTAAAGCACTATTTCACAATTCACATACATGCTGAGCATAATTTAAATATGGCTCTATATAAAGTTAATTATTTTTGGTTAGTGCAGTACTATGATATTTGCTTAATTGCATGTAGTGATTTACATCAGGTAAACAGGCCAACAGAACTAGAAAACCCAAATATTATTCACGTGTCATTTGTAAGTCCAAGGACACCAACAAGGATCTTTTATGGTAATTTCACGTATGAAGTAGGAATTTTGAAGCATTATTCAGTAACAAAAAAGAGCATAAAAGATCCTATAAGAAAGGCCACTCACTGACATAGTTTTGAAAAGCAACAACAATAATAAGCAGATGAAATTCCTCTGAATAACTTACTGTTTTTACCATTACTACTATTTTTTTGGCATGCATAATTCCCTGCCGATCAGAAACACTAACTTTCACTGCAAATCAGCTTGCTACTTCCTGTAAAGCACTTACCTGGTGGCTTGCCAGAACAAATATTTTAATGTAAAATTTAATAAATGGAACTAAAGGTATTACATCTAATTTAAAATTCCATATTGTGTAAACTATTGATATTAATGTAATTGAGTTTGTAAACAATCCATTTGTGGAAGCTAACCTTAGACACTGTATTGACCCAAAATATCTAGTGTGGCTCATCTGCAAAATGAAGCATCAATGCCTGGAATTCATTAAAAGTGTTACATGTTTAATTTTTCCTGCCCTACAGCTCCATTGTCTCGTAAAATTTTTCCTTTGATGTCCCCCACTAAAAGAATTAAAGGAATATTGTAATTGAAATGTCATTAATAATTCACAGGACCCTCCTCCACCAGCAATACATCTGATGAAATATTAATTGAGCTCCACAGACTGACAGTCTGCAGAGGAGCACTTGCCTGCAATTTGAACCACGACTCCTGATCTTGCTGTAGCTCAGACCTGCCAAGAAGGCAATTATCTGGATGGTCTTGCCCAATCCCATCTCATCTCCCAGAATTCCTCCTGCCTGCTGGCAGTGCAATTCCCAGAGCCACCTAACACCTGTCTGCTGGTACCTAAAAACAAGGAAAAAGAAGATAGCAAATGTTTGATAATACAGATCATAACAGAAAGTACTCATGAATTAATCATTTGGCAAGGTTCTTACACCAGTTACAGTAACATGCTGGATGTGTGTTTTACATGAGTGCTGTATTTACTAGGTCATACATTTTTGATGCATTCAGACATTACATGTGAATTTCATTCTTTATGCAACACTAAAACATTTCTAATTAAACTGATAGTTATAGTAATTAGAGGGTATTTTATTTATGTATATTTTCAGTGTTAAAAGCAAACTGGAAAGCTACTCTAACAAAGCCTTATCTCTTTAGAAAAGACAACATGTAAGGGTCTAGTAAATTACATTATTTGGAACATATACCTTGAACTGAAGGAAAAGCTTGACTTATGAGGGGTACAGACTTCATACATCACTGTGAAAACCAATCACATCTGCCAAAGCATGCTTTCTTTCATATAAATTCATTCAATAACATTTAGACTCTTTCAATGAAGAAAAAAAGCCAAACAAGGCAAAGTGTTTTGGAAGGCAAAATAGAAACTATACACGTGAATGGGATGCAGCAGAGCGTTACTGTGTATCAAGGCACGTTTTACTCCCAGTCATTCAGTGGAAATTAAAATACATTCCAATTAAAAGAAGTAGGCTAGAAAGCAAGATTTACAATGGCAAAATAAAAAGATGGAGATAACATGTTGGACTTCAGAATCACTTTAGGACACGCTTTTTTATAATTATATGAGACAGTGAGACCAGTAGGAATAACACAATACATGTGTGGGATAAATTGAGAACACAACAGAAAGAAATGAAGACACAGTATATTTAAATTACAATTAACCCCCCCCCACCCCCCCCACCCCCAAAAAAAACCCCACCAAAAAAATCCCATCACGTTCCAGCACTTCTGTGCCTTGTAACTTAGAAGAACAAGGTTACTGACATAATTTTCTTGATGACATGCATTCCTGGAGTGCAAAGTAAAGAGCAAAACAATTTTTTTTTTTTTAAGGATTGTTTATTTTAGGGCATTGTCTTGTATGTATTTCAATATCCTGTTTCATTCTTTGAACAAACAATATTTAAGAGTACTGACAGCTAATGACACTAATGTCTACAAAGTACTATTAAAAATCAATTTATGATGAGTTCTAGATAGATTTAGAGAACGTTAAATGGAGACAAACAGCTTAAGTAGTGAGAAAAAGATGATCCAAGAACAAATCCAACGGTTCAGACATCATACTACCTGCTGGTGTCTCTAATGCATTATGCATTATACCAAGTCCTTCAAAAACCCCTTTTATTAGAAATTAATTCACCTTAAAAATGCAACAATCTAAAAACAACCATGAAATGGCTTGCAGGATTAGCTATAATTGGGTTAAGATGCTACCATTACTACATTTTATGAAGGCAAAACATTTTCTGATGGAAATATTAAAGATTTTGAGAAAACTCTAATTCCAGGCAGAAGCTGCTCCCCTAGACTAATGTCTAGCATGTCTCTTCAGAAGACAACCATTCAAGAACTTCCTGGTATTATTTTGTATTATTTCTTAGGATTACATCCGGTGCTTAGAAGTTGGCTGCATTTATAAGCATCTTTCTCCCTCTCCACCCTTCTCCTGAGAAAGTTTCACAGTAAAGAATTTTGTGAAAAATTCTCTTCCAAGTGTATCTAAAACCAGAAATTACATAGGTGCTTTCTTTGCAGACTATAAACATGCAATAATTGCAACTATGCAAAATTTAAAGTACATCCCCCCAATATTTTTTATGGCTTCATGTAAAGATAATAAATTCTCTTTAATTAATATATTTGCACCAATTTTTAAGTTTTTGGTTCCCCCCCCCCGCCCCAAGTAACGTAGAAGTAAAATAAAAATATTGCCTCGTTCCAAAATAGTTATGTTGGCTGCATTTCACATGAGCAATCATGCTGTGATGCATGCTTCAAAATGCACCACAGCAGCTATCAGAGTTCAGCTGCATTGTTGCTGAGACAAAATTGCATTTCAGGGAAATCACACACGGAAAGCAAATAATGGAGAAACCTGGTTTCTTGTTTATACAGACAGCATTCTCTCAGGCTAAATGCAGACAGTTTAAGGCAACATTTCTAAGTCAGTCTTGCTCACGATGTTTTGTTTTATTCCACAGCAGTACCAATGGTATTCTTGCTGAACATTCCTCAGAGCAGACAAGTATATAGGGAAGAAACAGACTGTCCACTTCAACAAGCTTACCAAAGAACAAAGTTAAGGGTCTACTATTTCTAATGTGAGCTAATTTGAAATTCCATTCAACTATGCAGGGAGATCACTTACAGTGTGCTGCCATACACCTCTTTGCATCAATATTCTCCCTTGTTTTGCACTAAACTTGCTCAGAACTCAGAGTTTAATGCCTATTGACTATGCCCTTCCTACACTGGAGATTTCAGCATTTAAGTTACAAGTCATTCAACTCAATTGATCTTTCTAACCACTTAGGAAGTTTTGCCAACTGACTCATGCTTGCAGGGATACCCTTCATTAGCAAGGCTGATACCTCTAAGAGTAATTTTCAGTTGTCTGCCCTATTTCAATTCCCTTCAGGTTGCTAAGACCACACATCCGTTCTCAGGATGATTACTTCTGCAGTACCTTTGCATAAACAACTGGAGACCACATATTGGCTGTGTATGGTCCTGGCAACCAAGTCATTAATTCAATTCCATTTCAGAGCTAGTGCTTTCCTTCTGAGGAACTGCAGGACAACAGTAATAATTTCTTTGAGGTTAAGACTAAGTGGTCCTGTTGGAAGGGATACCACGCATGGCCGTTATAAACCAGGGCTTTCTACTACACTAATGGTAAGATTTTAGAGAGTTAGCTTTTGAAAGAGATGATGATTTTTTCCTGCTGTGTGAAATGCTGCTAACAAAAATGAATTCAAGCCTATTACGTATGAAAGTTAAGGGAGATTATGGATGAAGTTAACTTGTCAGCTGCTAGCTTGTTTGGGCTGCCTTTTGTAAATAGCTTTTTGAGATGAACCTGACAGGCACCACGGTCTCAGAAACTGAACAGAAGGCAGTCATGTCCAAATCTCTATTCCAGCATTAAATAACTAAAGAATGAGTTGTAGAGTGTTTTCCATCTACTAAAGGAATTAAGACTGCACTCTCCATATTTTAAAATTTTACTGGGCAAAATATTCAAGACTTATAATATGAATTATAAGTAGTTACTCTGAGTAAGCTTTGAGTAGTTAAAGAAATAGTTGTCTATATTTTTTGCTGGCAGAAAACTTCACTCACTCCACCCAATCAAAGAAACACCTACACTTTGTGTTTTCATTTATCACAGCTTGCTAACACCTTGTTCTTCAAAGTAAAGTTGTTCTACCACTCCACACCTGAGTTAAAAGAAAGTACTTATCAATAAAAGAAGGCATTTATAAAAACAGACAAGGAGAGCTTCTCATTTCATAGCCATCTGTATTTTCATGGAACTGCATTTTGTGCTTGTAATAAATTAGTTCCTTTGAGGTTTGATCCTGATGCCTTTTTTAAAGAAGTAAGGCTACAGAAACAAGTAAAAGTTACAGAAAAGGGCATGCAAAAATCACTTTGACTGTTATTACTACTATTAACAGCATACAGAAACATAATATTAAAATAAAGTACACAATACATACTTAAAAAGCTTTTTGAGGAGAAATCCTGGTACTCTGAAACCCTCTTCAAATTCAATGTCACTTTCTTCAGAAAGTTCCTCAGCTATTTGTTGTTCTTTGTCCTTCAAACGTTCTTTTTGCCACCTCCTAGAGTGATGCAAGGAGTCAATATTCAATTATTGCACAGAAAAGACACTATATGAAAAATACACTGAATTTTCGATCAGGTAAAAACCGAACAAAATGCATTCTTTGATGTCATGATTTAAATAGTAATCCTTTGGAGCAGAGAATTATGCAAGTAAATGCTCAAAATATCTGTCATATTTAAAGGTGCATGCACTCCTGACTAGCTAGTTATGAGTCTTCAGAGTTTTATAGCTAGTTACAGATTTTCATAGATAAAAATACTAATACAATGGAATCAACCAAAAAAATCTGGCTAACTTAAAATTAATAAACATCCATAAAAACTCCCTCAAAAGTATCAACAAAGCTTAGATATTCCAAAGCTGTTTTATTAATTGAACCAAATACTTAAATAACTTCCTTTGCCTGGAGACATGTTCAGCAGTGTATAGTCTTATGGAGAGAATTCAGTTGGAAAAATCACCATTTTGGGGTGACGTGCTCTGAAATGTTCATCAGTCATTATTTAGAGAATGAGGTTTCTCAAACTTTGAAATTACAGTGGTTTTGTGGTCTGCAGCTTCATCTTATTTGGACTCTAGGAAGGTTAGAGAATTACCTTCCTGTCCCTTTGTCAATCCGTGCCCCCCATTTTTGAAATGTACCAAAGGATGGCAACTTCCAAGAAAATGATGGACTCGCATTTTAGTGACCCCAAAACATCTACCTGTAGTAGTAAAGTGTATGCCACTGCTAGCTGGGAATGTACTAACCCATCAGGAGCACTTCACTGACCATTTGGGTTTTGCTGGAATGAAAATGCCCATGAAATGCCTATGAAAATGCCCTTTGCTGCCGGCACACTGAATGTGGTGTATAAACTGACAAAATCCCTACAGAAACCAGCAAGCTACAGAAGAGATGGAAAACATCCTTAGGTTACTGTTCTGGATGCAATGCAAAAGCAGACATATTTCATATAATAAAAAGGCTGAGGGAGACCGTATAGTCTAGAAGTATCTCTCAATATAGAACAAGATGACTGAAATTGTTCAGGTTCCAAAGAACTGTAAATAGTAGTGGTGGGATGGAAAGAAGCAAATGGAAAATTCAGGCCAAAAAAAAAAAAATAAAAAAGGTTAAGCACCTAGCACTGAAATCTACTGAATTAAATGACAAATGGCATGCCAAGTGAGATGCTGGAAAACTCATCTGACCACTCTTTTAACTTTACATTGAAGAAACTGGAGAATGCACTCCTGAACAGTCCTGCAGTAACTGGGTGGAGGAGGATGTATCTTTCCAGTACATCTCCAGTTTCTGAATGACAAACATTACAGGTTGAGTGAATAGTTCCATTTCCCTCCTGGTAACATTTTACCATTTATTCATTACACAAACAGCTTTCTGTTAGCTTAGGTTGCCTCTGCAGCAGGGAGGGGGGGGAAAAAAAAAAAAAAAAAAGAGGCATGGCAGGATAATGGATTAACAGCATTCTAAAAAGCAAAGCACACTCCCCCTCCCCAAAACACACCCCATATTCTGGGAAAAAGGATTTCTGAACTATTTAAAAACATCAGGAAATTCACATTTTCCTCTCTTTAACAAAAAAAAAATTTAGAAGTTATTTATCCTGATTTTTCTGTTAAGCTCTGCAACGCCTTCAAGACTTTGAAGATAAACAGCATCTAGAGGTTGACATACAAAGTGTATTCTATTTTCAGCCTTGCTACGCACAATCCAGTGTGCTTTAAACTTATGGGCTGAGTGCCTTATGTTTTTAAATGTACTAGCCAAATTTTATCCATCTTGAGAAGAAGAAACATAGTCATAAAAATGTTAGTTAATTTCTGGCCCAAACTTGACAGCATCATCAGCTACAGAAACTAACTTAAACCTTTTTATTACCTTGATTTATATCCTGACCAAACTAGTCAAAAGGAGGGAGATAGAAGTCACTGGTAAAATTTCTCTCAAACTGCCCATAAGACAGCTACCATCCTGACATTTTGCACCTCCAACCTGGCAAACAAAGCTGAAGGCACTGTAAACCATCTCAAGCATTGCTTCAGCCACGCTTCTATTTAGCTTAGTCATGTTAAGAGCAGACACAGCCAGCACAACGTCACATACAGTACCGTAACTCCTTACGGCATGATATGAGAAGTGCCTTCTCCACTGAAGAAAAATCCTCTCAGCTAAAACCATTTTAAATCAAATGTGATTTAAATTTTCTACCCTGTATACATCAGTGAATAAAAAACCCCCACAACCACAAAACCAAACAAAACAGGGAATGAAGGTCTAGTGTTCTCCTTCCATTTTTAAACTACATAACCAGATCTGGGGGCAATTAAACCAACCAATGATGTCTGTCTTGCTAAGGACATCACCCTGCATTTTCTGGTATGAAATAGGGTGAAAACACTAAAAGAGACTTTTCTTGCTGTTAGGACATTCAAAATCATCTTCATGGGATCTGCAAACTCACGAGACTTAAGTTCAAGCTGCATTTTCTCCAGTGGCAGCGTGAATAGTGTTTATCTTGTCTTCCTGACCACTTACTTCAGTGAAACTTATTGAAACTTCCACTTAAAGGTTGCCATATCCCTGGCAAATTTGTTTAAAAAAACTTGGATTAGGAACAAGAGAACAGGGAAGAAGTTCAACATTTACACAAAATCACAATCCTACACCCTTTCTTGTGAAAAAAAGCTAATTATGGCAGGTTTCTAGATCAGCTTTTCATCAGTATCTTTCGAGAAAAATACTTAACAGTCTGCCTTATGGAACCAGTCACAAACTTGGAACTGTGATACTGTTTTATTAAGCAAAAATAAACAGTCATCTCCAAATATACTCAAGTTACACTAATTGTCAAAAACAATTGCAGTGAAAAACTAAGACAATGCAGTGCTGGACAAGTTTAGAGAGCCAGCTTCACAGGAATATATTTTGATCTTTAAAGACAAGAAACCTTCAGAGGCAAAAATCATGATGGAGAGAAAAAGCAGCATATACAAGGAAAAAAAACCGAAGACAGACAAAGATAGTTTTCAGTTTTCTGATTAAAAAATGATGAATTGCTGATGTTTATTATTGGATTGTTCTTATTTTGTTATATGAAATCATGTATCCAGTTAAGTAGTAAAAAGAGAACTTACTAAAATAATATAAAGTGTCAATGTTTTCCCCACAGATAGTTTTATATACCTATCAACGCAGGAAAGGAAAGCCCTATCTTAAACTAGCACTCTGTTAAATGTTTGACTTAGGAAAACACCATTCATGCTCTGGCATGATATGATACATTCTAGAGGCACAACAAAAAAATGTGTTTATTTTTCATAGAATCATAGAATGGTTAGGGTTGGAAGGGACCTTTAAAGATCATCTAGTTCCACCCCCCCTGCCATGGGCAGGGACACCTTGCACTAGACCAGGTTGCTCAAAGCCGCATCCAGCCTGGCCTTGAAGACAGCCAGGGATGGGGCATCCACAGCTTCTCTGGGCAACCTGTTCCAGTGCCTCACCACCCTCTCTGTGAAGAATTTCTTCCTGACATCTAATCTAAACCTCCCTGATTTCAATTTATACCCATTACCCCTTGTCCTGTCACTACAGGCTCTTGTAAAAAGTCCTCTCCCAGTACCCTTGTAGGCCCCCTTCAGATACTGGAAAGCTGCAATGAGGTCTCCTCGGAGCCTCCTCTTCTTTTTGTTCAGTGCTACAAAGTTGTACTATCAGGCACAAATGGTCAATTATTCTTCCGAGTTCCATAAAAAGATCAACCATTCAAATTGACAAATGCTGACAGTTATTGATTCAGACTGTGTCATAACTGGAACTGAGACATGTCAGAACTCGATTATTTTATCTGACTTCGTTATGACAAGACTCAAACCAAGGAAGTAAACTCGTACTCGCCACACTAAAATCAAAACAATTGTAGATTACAAAGCTTCCCAAGCGACAACTAGGTGAAGAATCCCTATTAAACTCAAGCAGGGTAATATTTTGTACAAGATTTTGCTTCTAATTCTGTATTGCGATATTAATCGCCACCAGCCAACACTGGAGCTTCAGCCTCCCCTGGGAAGAGACAGATTGCCCTCTAGTGTACATTACAAAAAGTGATCCAGAAACAAACAAGAAACGTTTCTGAGATCAGAAACATAACTATTGTATTTTCTGCAAGAAGCGTGACAAATGTTTTCTCTTAAACTACATATTCTTAGAACTTGAACTAATAAGTACTGTACTTATTTTTCCTAAAGGTTTATTTTATGCACACTCTCTGTTACTTTAGTGAACTGTATAATTACATAAGCTGTAGTATTGAAGGCTCTTCCAAAGGTCTGGTTTCCCCTCAATTACCAGTTTAAAGAAAAAGCAGCACTTTGTTTTTACCACTAAGAACTTTCAAAGTTTGAAGAAGCTATTCACTTTTTGAAAGTTTGTGAACTTAATGTAAGACACTGTATTAAGATATTCTATATTTCTTCAAAATTGTAAATATCTAAAATGGTTGAAGCAATGGGAGGTCAAACACTACTTGCTAGATCAGAATGGTCAGTTGGGCATTGTACCTTTCTCCAGAAGTTAAACTTGAGAGGGAGAATCAGCAATAGCTCATATTTGACTTAACTACACAGTAACTTATTGACCAAATACACACCTCAGTTAATCATTATTGGTACGCCTGAACAATCAGAAAATATAGGTTTTACTACATCACCAAGGTCCTTTGAAAATAAGAGCATGACCTGTGAGAAATCTATTTTAAATTATCCATGGTCACTGACATAAACAATTTTATCCTGAAAGTGCAGTATGAAAACCATGTATCATACAATTAAATCTTTCTTAATAGAAGAATGTATTCAGATACTAATCCCATTTCCCACTTACTGCAATACCCTGGAAAGAAATTCTGCATCCAATCATGAGCACAATCTGACTCAAAAAAAACCCAAAAAAACACCCCCAAAAAAACCAAACCCAAAACAGACAGGAACCAAGCTGAGTGTTTAATATAGTTTGCATTTCTGAAGCACAATATGTTTTCTATTTTAGACAGTTAAGAATCCCTTACAGATTATTCTAATTTGCTAAATTGAAGCATTCAGCATTACTTTTCTGATCTAACTTTTTATGGTCTATAGGGGTGGATTTAATTGGTACGTCCTAACAGATGAAATACATGCAGTTAGTACCACAAGTCTCCATAAGTAAATTAAGACTGATGTAGACAATTACACACTTGAGCTTAGAATGAAAGGTATACTCAGCAAGTGAGGCAAAATACATCTTCATTTGTGTCCTGGCTTTGTCATTTTAAAGAGCAGTTACGATGCTCTAAGAAAGTATCTTTCAGGAACGGTGATATTTAATCCTTTTTAAATTTATAACTATGAAATATCAAGAGATTCCATGACTCAGACACTTCAGAGGGAGCTAGCATATGAAAACTGACCTGATTTGAGAGAAAAAAACCCCTTATTTATAAGCAAATTTTATTTTTTTTGTTTGATTCTTTGTATTAACTGCATTGAATGCTGATAGCCACAACTTCCAGCTCCTCAGCTGCTCGGATGTCGCTTGGGAGCCATGGAAAGTAGTAGCTTTCCTAGCCTTGCCTGTGAGCGCTTGACAGCAACTGAATGAAGAGCTATGCACATAATAATACTCCACAAACCATACTGAATACTCAAGAAAACACAGATATGGCACTTAGGTCCCATAACAAGACATGTTAACTTTTACTTTTTCACATTCCACTGATCACACCTTGCTTTGAGCGATTAGGCCAACAACTGCAAGTAGCCTTCAGATGGAAAGAGTTGGGTGCTCTCCTGCCCGCCCTGTTTACTGCTGAAAACACCAGTTCCTGTTCTGAAAACAGTCTCTTGTTCTGGAGATGCTTTGCAGTCCTGCAGTTAGCTAATTATCATGCTTTAACAACATCATCATATTTTCCCCTTGACACAGACCAATCTCCTCAAGTCCCATATCTGAAAAGTTTTAATGTAAAGGAAACTCATTTCAGGCTTTAAGAGTGTAGGACTGTATTCAGCACCAAGCACAAGACTAGATGTTCAGAAGACTAAAGTAATCCTAAAGGATTTTCTCCTGCCTCTCTCAGGGGTAAAATATAACATAATCTCACCCATTAATTTGCATTTAAAAGTAAAACTGACATGAAACAAGGCATAAATGTAAGCAAATGACAGCAGTTCTATAGCATTCTTAATATGTTTCTTAATTCACTACATTTTATTTTCTCATGGCATTTCCCATAATGAAGATTACCTGGGGGTGTCAGCATAAAAACGTCAATGTGGACAGCTGCAGCTTAACAGCCACAATAACTGCAGCTATGAAATTTTTAAGAGATGTAGTGTTTTGGTAGCAATTACAGTTATTGATATTTCTAAAATTCATTTAGGCTTTTATTGTAACTTTAGTAACCAAAAGAAATGTACTCTATGATATGACTTTGCAAAGGATAAATTGTCACAATCTTAACGTTATTAAAAAACGTGTTTGAATGAATTTAAATTGCGAGTCATATTAAAACTTTCAATCAAAATAAATTACTCTTGATGAAAACACTGAATTAAAAATGATTTAATATTGGTCTAATTTAAATGTGAAGAGTACAGTTTTATTCAATAAAATAGTAAATATTTTACCAATTAAGTACAATTAATTTTCGTTAATACATCCAATAAAAAACATATTTCTCTTTGACCCTTTGGACATTGTTCAGATTAGCCTCTTGCTGAAATTTTCTATTCAAGAGCAATAAACTATGCTTTAACTTTGAGAAGCAGCATCTTGAGATTGCGAACCTATTGTCTCATACCAGCTCCTCATCTGCCTTTGTAACCTGGGATGTGAAAGCAAAGTTGGGCTTTTCCCGTTTGAGGTTTTGTTACCAGTAATTCTCTAACTATGAATACCTCTGCTATCAGAAGATACCTCCTCCACAGCAGCTCAGGCTCTCACCACAGGAAGAGATGGTGTTTATGCCTCTATTTCTTGACCCTTTCACTGATACAGCTGTGTTTAAATCGTAAGGTTTTATAATTCCACAGAAGTGTAAAATTTCAGTCTCCCAAGCAGTAACCAAATTCCTGTGCTAGGACTTAACCACTGTATCAACCACCCTTTACTGACCACCCTAATCTGTTCTTCCTTTCAATCTAGAGCAGCTGTTTTCAAGTTAGAATCCATGATTTTCTAGAGGACTATAAAACTACTTGAAGGACATTCACTAAAGGTAATTAATTAAAAGCAAGCATGCTATGAACAAGCTGAAGTTCATTATATGAAGCTCAACAGTTATACTAGAAAAGAGACAATTTACCAGTGGTTAGAAAACAATAGAAACGAACAAAACAACCATTTTGGTGATCTTGACCTTTTGACTCCCAGTACGTGCAGAAATGCTTCTTAACTTGACTGGCATGTCTAGTTAGCATTTTAACAGCTTAATAAATAATATGTCACTTCATTGCTCCCTCAAAATGTTTTCCAGGCAATTGTGAAAATGGAAAATTTGCTCATTCTAATTGTTAGGAACTCAACAGCTATGCTATTAGTAGAGAAAACATCTCAACAGTGCACTGTAGCTACATAGAGATCATCAACACACACGTTATACAAATTTCATATATCACAGATCAGCACAAGGTGTTTCAGCTGCCGTTTTCAAAAATAACTTGTGTTTTTAGCTGTATTTCCCCACCTAACATGCTATTTATTTAATAGAAGATGCTGATTCTCCTTAGAAACCTTACTCAGTTTACAACCTTAGGTCATCATTGCAAAAGATGACACCACTACTACCACTACTGTCACTGTCTCTTTAGATAAGGATGTTTTTACCCCCACATTCTCATAAAGAACAGAGGAAAATCACTGTCAAACAGAGCAGTTCTTTTTAGACTTGTTTAGACTTAGCAGCAGCATAAATGTCCAGTCTTCATTACTTATGTCTTGTAGTGTAAGTTACAAAGGAGATGTGCTAATAATGAATATCAGTATAGTTCTGTCCAGTATAAATTTTTACAAGTCTAAATTCAAAATATTCTTTTAATATTGATTTTCAAATAAATTTGTTAGCCATATAAACTATATGTAAGTGCTTTGGATTTCAATAAACTAACAGATTCTGCAAAAAGAGTAGGTAAATATCATATATTCAAATGATTTCTTCTTGCCTAGCAGTTAATTATTTAAAGCCAAAAACTAAGCATCTCACTCCACACCATACCAAAGATATGTCTCTCAGAGAAATGAGATTTTAAAGGTGGGTACATGACCTATGGACAAAAGCAGTACTCAAGTGTAAAGCTGCCAAGCAATATGTTGTTTTATAGATATACTCAATTTTGGGTGCATTCACAGTTTTGCAAATAATACACACACACTGATACACAGCTAGCTTTTTACTGAAGGACCTATAACAATCAGAAAAATCTAATTGCAAAGCCCTTGTAATTAAGAGGTATGATAGACTCCTTTTGGAAGGCTATGATCATTCTGTCTCATTTTCCTTACTTCAACTCCTAGCAGCGTATTACAGATATTGACAAATGATGTTGAACATGTGAAGGGCAAATGTTACTAATAAAAACGCATAGAACCAACCTTAGCCGCTGTTTATAATAGCCTTCATCTCCATCATCTCTCCACCTTTTTACTTTGCGCTTCCGTGGTGTATGCTCTTCTTCCTCAGAGCTTGGAATGAAGTCAGCATCACCTTCAGCTTCTTTAAAATCTCTCTTCAGCAATTTTTTTCTTTTTCTTGACAAATGCTTGAGTTCATAATCAGAGTTACTCTCAGCATGAGAAGATGCCTGCTCTTCCTCCTCTTCTGGATCAAATAGCTCCTCATCAGGTACATACTCAGACTCTCCACTATTATCCTCCTGTTCGTGCCTGAACTTCTTAGCCTCACAGTATTTCTTTTCTTTTGGAATCTTTGCCTTTGAGTGAATCTTAAGAGCATGCTTCTGAAGTTTTCTCATGTGTTTTAAGTGCTTATCTGATTTTGACAGGGCTTTACCCCTTTCTTTGTTAGTAGAAGATGCAGGAGCTAGGTGCTGAACGTTCTTGGCTTGTACGTTCTTCTTTGCTCCTTTGCGAAGGGATAACTTCTTTCTTTCAGATGACAGCTTAGCTTGGTCTTCTAAGTACTTCTCAAAATCAGATGCTTCATTTAGCATTAACTGCCGTGTCTTCCTCTCCGGCTTCTGAGGTATTTTACTTCCAAATGGAGTCATCTGGCCAGTACGAATAAGCTCTTCCCACTTTGTTTCCTGAACAGGCATAAGCATACTGCCCAGACATGATGGACCTGGTTCTACAACAAAAATCAGAACATCCAACATTTAACACCTTCTGAATAACATAAACACAGGAACAACGCTGTTTTGTTTTCCCAAAGTTTTATGTGCATCCAATTCAGTTTTTATATACTATTTAGAACTCCAAACTACTATCAGACATAATACCTTAAGTTCAAAAAAGGCAAAACCCAACAAACAGAAGGCCAGAAAAGTCAGACTGTAGCTTTTAATTCAGACAAATTCTCAAACTTCATATAGGAAAATTACAGATACTATGAAAATGCACATGCTTCTGAAAAAATAAACTACCATAAAATTACAGATCCCCATGGCACACATGATCTCTGATGTGCTCCTTATGCTGTCAATTCAATCCATGTCACCATGTTCAGGGCAAGAAACCACTGCATTCCCATATGCAGTAATGTTGTCCACTTCTATTTTTGTTATTGATTTTTCAATCCTATACATAAGCTTGAAATTTGACATTTCCATTACCATGCCAGGGCAGACACAAATCTTACATAAAAGACTGTCTTCTCAAATGCTTCAAAAAATAAAAACAGAAAACAAACCCCATCTTCCTACTCTACAACACTAACATTAGGATTATGATTTAAAAGTCAGATTGGCTGCATGGCCTGTTACCATAAAAGAGCGCTGCAGTTAAACTGCATACACAGTTACTATACATATTAACACAAATTGGTGTTTGAAACCAAAGAGGGAGAAAAGCTCTTGAATTCAGGAAGCTGAAGAGGAATTTCAGCTTCAAATCTATTATTAGGGCCCAAAATTTCATAATAGCTGTACCACAACTGCCAGCATGGCATGCTACTGTATATGGTCCCATTTAATGTTTGGTATTTATCACAAAAACATGTTTAAGGAGTAATAATGATGCATCAGGCATGAAACTCCTCCCTGTCCACCCCCTTAGTTTCTCAGACTACTGGAACTGCTCAACTCCATTTCTTCTGTCCTGGGCTGCACTCACTTCCTAGTTACATTTCACCAGAGTGAGTGCCTGAGTTTTACTACATGAACCTATTCAAAGAAAAGGACTAAAGATGCTTTTCTTAGTAGAAAAGTTTACTGAGCTTTTGACTCTAAGTTTCATTGAACCAGGACAGAAGCATGAGCTCTGCAGGATGTGGAATCCCCTCCAGCTACATCTGCAATGGATAAATGGCACAAAGAGTTTACACCTCTGCAAACAACAATATAACCCAAAGGTGATACGCAGATGTCAAGTGTGGTCCAAACCTGCCCTGCAGAATACTGCAGATTAGTGACTGCAGTCAAGACACAGCTGTGCTGGAGTTACAAAATCTAAGGTCAGTTATCACAGAGCAATGAGAAAGAACACCTAGTGAAACACAGAGAAAAATGCCCTGCTCTGGAAGAAGCCTTTTTGTTTTTTTCTTTTTAAATCACACTGCAGCCTGAAAAAGAGCAGCACTTCCTGTTTCCATTTCTAGTGATACTTCCCAACAGTAAGAAAAACCAATTTTGTTAATGCTGATTGATAGCATCCAGCATATAAAATGTAATTCAAACATGATGTTAGTCATCTTTATCAAATTAGCTGTGAAAAAATGTTAGGATTTCCAATTTATTAAGCCCAATACTCTAACGTGCCTCAGCCATCCCTACTGGGCTGAACGTGGATTAACATCCAATTTTTAAAACTTCCCACATGAATATGCCAAGATCTGCAGTTCTGCAGGTGCAAAGAATAAGCATTATTATCTCTCCCTTTGAAAGCAAACCACTGAAATTTATTTCCTTACTGGCAAAGATCATGCAAACTAGCTTCAAACAAAAAAAAGGCATTGCATCAAAGTGGAACAGAACTTTCAGCCTTCTCTCATACCTTCATCTTCCTCGAATTCAACCTCATTTAATTTATCAAGAACTTCTGTTCCAGCAAGAATTGCCTGGAGACGCTTTTGTTTTGCTTTGATCTTCTTTAGCTGTTGCTCCTGGAATGACAAGCAGATACAGAATTTAATTTCTAATGTGGCTCATAAACATGATAACCTTTTAAACAAGACTAAATACATTTGCAGCATTTTCCACCAGAATCTCATATGCAAATGTTCACATTTGAAAAAAAAATTGCAAAAAGTGTCAGCATAATATCTGCAGGGCTCCAACCCACAGAACACACACAATTTTGTGTGTGCAATCACCTTATGACATACATCCAGTAAGATCAGGTTGTTCATGGACACAAGTTTCACATGGACGTTACACATTTCTATGTACAGCTATTGAGGTCATTTTATGAATGTGCTGATTCTAGTGAAGAAAGCCCATCAAGGGGGTTAGTGAGATGCACAGAGAATGCCAAGAGATTTGTTAATGATTTGCAAGACTGGATTAATGTTAATAAGCCACTGAAAACAGCTATAAGATTTAATAAGATTTATTTATCATCCCAGAAGTTTTGGAATGTTTTGTTAGAAAGAAACTGGAAATGTAAAATTAGTCCATCTTCTTAATATATGTCTGTACAGAATTCATTCAGGAGTGGTTGCAGATAATTTACCAGCAAAACCAAAGTGAACTGACTTAAAAATAAAAAAGGAAGAAAAATCAACACTACAGATGCTATAACAAGTGCAGTTCATTACTGCTATGAAAGTAACTCATAGCTAGCTCTTCTGCTACATTGTTTATCTCACTGTAATATCCTCAACTGTGTATTTATTGGTGGTGTTGTGATTCCTGGCTGTTGCTGTCTTTTGATTTATGAAACAAGGAATTCCAACCAGTAAAATAAAGACACAGGCAAGGTAACTCTCCATATTTGTAACTCTCATTCTTTGGAAATATTTTCTTACCTAGAGAGGCACATACTTCCCTAAAAATCAAGTTCATGGCAAAATGAGCCAATTTTTTTTTTCTTTTTGGTGAAGGACAGTTCACTAGCCTGCCCACGTCTCCATGTAGCAATTTTCAAATGACAAAAGGTAAGCATATACATGTATGGTACAATATATTATCTCCTGTGTGTGCATCATTATCCTTGCTGCCAGAGTACTTACTTTCATAAAACACTCCCTGTATGACAGCTCAAAGGAAATAGCTGTCTTGTAACAGTCATTAGCTTCCCATTTGTCTCAATAATGGAAGAATTCAGTCTTCTTTAGGAATCTTTAAAAAAATACTACAAAAGGAAGAGTATTAAAAGGTACTTCTCCATGCAAAAAGTAGCTCAATACCAGCTTTAAATACACTGTCTGCCTCCAAACAGCCTCCAAAACACTTGAGATTATTAGGACCACTTTTAAAAATTATAGTTTTCACACAGGGATTTATTTTTACACTTCAAGGTCTGTAGAGATGTCCAACAACAACCTCGCAACGGGATTTGAACTTCCCCTGCAACTAACACTTGCGTAAATTACCTCAAGTAAAATGAAAACAAACTAAATACAGTGTTTAATTACATGATCACTCTTTAGTGGTAAGTCTGGTTTAATGTACTTCTTCCCACTACTTCCAGTAACTTGTTCCTAGTCCTGTGCCACTCTTCACTACTGTCCCTCTCACTCTCTCAATCGGCCAAACTGTGAGCACAGAGTTATCCAAGTTGCTGAAACGGTCAAGGTTAAAACTTAAACAACTGAGTATGTTGGTGGTAAATGGCCCAAGACTGGAAAGAAGCTTCTGAGGGCAAAGGACAGTGAGTTTTTCATTCAGGTTTATCATTACAGAAAATACTAGGGAGCATTTCTCTCGGATGGTGAGCTGAACAAAGTGCTACACTCCTGACCAGGAGAAGTTTCCCTTTTCTCAAATCTTTTTCTTCCTATTCACAGCTGTATTCCCTATTCCTTACATTACCCTGATGCCTACTAGATTGCTCTACAAGCTCCTTTAACTTACTAGTCTGGCAGAAAAAAAACTGAAGCAGTTTCTGCCAAATCAATGAGTTAGGCTCACAGAAAGGAATGATGTGTACTGATACAAGAATGATACAGACAAGGAAAGAGGATTAAGGAACTGAAGGTAGGGAATGAAGACCATAAGAGACAAGATTTAGGTCAACTACTGAATCCTGGAATTTCAGTTTTACAGCTTGTTCTGAAACTCAGATTTAAAAAAAAAAAAAAAAAAATCAGCTCTCACTTTCACATCTTCAAATTAGTTATTTACATGTTTTGGGAGAAAACCACACCATTTAAAAGGGAAGGAGCAGCAACTGTAGACTGACTGAACAGTAAGCAAGAATTATATCACATGACTCAAATCTTAATCCAAAGTACAAGTTAAGTGTTGTCAGCAGG